TGACAAAGCAGGGTTCTTAGTCGTTATGTGTGGATGCAATGGCTCGACAATGCCTTTGGGTTGATTTTTTTGATCGCTGATGCTGACGTTGTTAGTGCTGACTGAAATGAGGGTCTGAAGGCTCTGGAGACGGCTGGTGTTGCGCAAGGGGCGAAGTCTCAGCGCGAGATGATCTGATCGTTGTGTCGGCTGTCCCGGATTGAAGCGTAGTTTGTTTGGTTTCCCGCAAAAAGCGTTTTTGAGGAATTAATTGTGGGTGTTTACCAGTACTATTGGAACTGGTTGATGACTGGGTGATGGCTTCAGCTTTGAGAGGGGTATCTTAGGTCGAGTGTACTAAGATACGAAGCATGCCCAATTGTAACCCTATGTTGCAGTGTCTTTGTTTCCTTCTTCTGCTGCGACCTGCCTCTGCCTCATCCCAACAATGTCGATCATCTCCCGTCTTCCTGTTATCCTGATGATGATCATTCTGTTCACTGTTAGAGACTGCATAACTCGGCCCAGAATTCAGAGGCTCTCAACTTGAGAGCGAGCTAGTCTTGATGTTTTTTTATTCATTGTCGTTCAGATTAGGTCAACTAATCGGCTAATCTCGAATTATGTCGTAACATGACCCGACTTCTGACAGCATCTTACAAGGCAATCAGTAACCAATTCATACTAGGAAGGGATGGTGGAAATACGACACCAACAATTCCATCTTCCCATCCTCTCAAAGTGTTTCGTCGATATGACTTGTCGAGGTGAATTGAAGGAGTTCTTTCAGCATTCACGTGTATAGACAGAACGACTGGTCACGCATACGGCGTTTGCGTGAACCACTATCAAACAGAACCAACGTGGTTACAACAACTCACTTAGTGTAGCGACTAGCCTACACGTGAAGACTACAGAAGTAAACCAACACACAACTCACTTAATCTAGCGACTAGCCTACACGTGAAGACTACAGAAGTAAACCAACACACAACTCACTTAATCTAGCGACTAGACTACACGTGAAGACTATAGAAGTAAACCAACATACAACTCACTTAATCTAGCGACTAGACTACACGTGAAGACTATAGAAGTAAACCAACACACAACTCACTTAATCTAGCGACTAGACTACACGTGGAGACTATAGAAGTAAACCAACACACAACTCACTTAATCTAGCGACTAGACTACACGTGAAGACTATAGAAGTAAACCAACATACAACTCACTTAGTGTAGCGACTAGCCTACACGTGAAGACTATAGAAGTAAACCAACACACAACTCACTTAGTGTAGCGACTAGCCTACACGTGAAGACTACAGAAGTAAACCAACACACAACTCACTTAATAACATCCTCAACAATATTGGGCAAGCCCCTGACAGTAGTGCGGGGGTCCACTTCAATAGTCACTTCTCGATCGGCCTTGTATGTCTGTACTCCTACTGACACACGTTCATCCTAACACAGAAACATCTACACATACCACGACAGAAGCACTCACTCGAGGCTTGAAGTTGCGGGGGCGATGACGACCAGTCGTGAGATCAGGCAGTGTATAGTAGTGCCATACGGGTGTTTGCTCTTCGTTGATTGATGACTTTATGCGACCAGCACGACTATAATTGTGCACTACACTTCCATGCATCGGGTGGGAAACACGACACTACTAGTAAGACTCTCTAGTGGCGATGAGCCTTCACATAGACTTATACTTCATTTCACATGACATTCTAACCGGCCTAGGTGGGCATAATAACATTTTGTCTTTTCTCAAGATGAACATTCAGAGGCGCAGGTTCGAGCGTTCCCCCAGGACTGTTGACCAACACCAGGCAAGTAGGATCGTTGTTGCAAGTATATTATTATAGTAGTCTATCCATAATCTCCTCCCGATGAGGAAAAGACTCTTCTCACAGCACGCCAACACCACCAAATCTGGCCTCAGTGAACTCATTCTCAGCCTTCACTTTCTTTATCTGTTCTAGTAGTAGTTCGCATTCCAATTCCAACTTGTGTTTGCGTAGCATTCGCTCTCTAGTCTGTATCGGCCCAGTCGAGGCGTGCAGGGCGTGTGAGAAGCCAGCGTTCGATGCGGCAGCAGTACTCACGAAATCATCATGAAGAGCGCCACCACCGGGGACATTGGGCACCTCCTCCCCAGGAGGGTTCCACAATATGAACTCGTTAGCCAGATTGATGAGATAGACCGGAATCTTGTTTTTGACGTAGCCGACTTCCCTGTGCTCTTCGATCAGCTTTTTCACTCTCGACACCAAATTGTCCATTTTTTTCCTCACTTGCAGCACCGTCTTGGGCGAGCCTGGGTTCATCTCATTGAGAGCTTCCGTGAAGGAATCGAATGCATTCGCCCTCTCCACTGACAAGAGTTCCTCTCACACACTGATGATCACAGTCTAGGGCGGTTACCTTGTGCCTCCGGTCGACGACTCTTTAGAACTGATCGGTTGCGAATTATGAGCTCCACGAGCATAACGTTCTCGTTTTCTGTGAAGTGGGATTTAGGTTTGAACCCACCTGAACACAAACAGGGGATTGCCATGCTCGCGAAACGGCGACTGTTGGGTCGTTTAGTGGACCGATTTCGAAACTCAGAATCTCAATTCCTTTCGATGTTAGAATCAATTCTGAAATGCCTCGGAGTGAGGCACTTCATATTCCGCTCATTGCCACTCACCATGAGTGCCTCTTTCGCTGCCAGTGACGCCACTTTTCCTTTTGACCCCTCTAGAGGGGGTGACAGAATTGGCCAGCCCTTGAGGGTAGGCCCCTTGCTGAGTGGCAAGCTCAGAAATCACGGCATGATCTATGGGCCCCACGGAGTCTTCCACAATGATTTGATGCTCGGCCATGTGGAGGAATCTCAAGACGCTAAGGCAGAGTACGATCAACGAGTGCTCAAGATTCCCTTCTATATCGATTGTCTGGGCGAGCGAGATACTTATCGTAAGAAAAGTGTATCAACCGGGAATCGAACCCGGGACCCAAGTCCCGAATGTGTGCATGCGTGCAGGATTATGTCGATCGATTCACTGCCAAGTCAACCTTGATTCAAACGATTGTATAGAGATGATGCTATAGTCGTTTTTTGACTCAATGATGGATCCGACTCGCCGCCTTTACATCGGCGAGTGGTGATTAAAACCTGTAGCTACCAAATTTCCGAATCAAAGAACTGTCTATTGTGAATGCTCATGATGCTGTATTTATTCAATGATAGGACTGACCTTATAAAGGGTTGAAGTCAATCTGTAGCCATTTGTCTGAAGCAATAGCAATTCACACTCCCCTTAGTAGTGGGAGACCAAGCCCATGTCGTTGACCGATGCAGCATTTAAAAAGGCGATCGCTCGAGACTTCGAATTCGCACTACGAAGAATACCCCATCTCGACACCACTAGGAGGGGAAATGCCCTTAGTGTAACACTCAGAGAATTCGACACAACTCCGCTGTTTGCCAGGCAATTTTGGCAGCCTCGAGCGGAGCGAGGGAAGGCTCATGAAGTACCCCCACCCGGCCCCTGTCGGACCCTCTCAGTTGCTACTATCCGAATATGCGGTATGCTAACCGAGCCGCTTATAGTAGCTGCTCCCAAGAGATTCCCGGGAATCGTAGCGAGCGACACTCAGCACTACGAAGTAGCTTTCGTGCAGTGTGCGGGGAAATATGCACATGTGTTGGTGACAACATGAAAATTCTGGGAGGAAATTCTCGCTGGTTTATGAACATTGCTATCCGACTCCGCGTAAAAGCCCCTATGATTAGTGGAAAAACTCGTGAGTTCAGCTGAGGCCAACTAACACCCCTGTCGTGTCTCGATGACCAGTACTGATATTCCTTTAGGTCCCTCCCTCTCTCCCCCTGCCGACTACAGCGGTTCACTACGCAGCAACAGTAGTGATCTACGCCCCCCCCGGCCCCCACTATTCATAGCTCTACACAACCTCACGTGGACAAGTTGGGACTCAATACAGTGGTGACCATCAACTGTGCTGATATTAAGACATACCGTAACAGTCTCAACTGACAATAGTTAACGTGGTGTGTCTCCATATGTCTTCAAAGCCATCGTATTCATCTCTTCCCATCAGGCCTCAGTATTCCACCAAAGTCGACGCCTCGGTAGCTCGCTCGCGTATGGGGAGATTATTTCCGATGTCTTCCCGTGTCAATGTTGACCATTCACCTCTCCTTCAGCCACCATTCGACAAGCAACGTTGGGTCGTCATTCGTGGTCGTCGTCGTGATGGTTGCTACTATCATGTTTCATACAAATTCCGAACATTTGCCCCGTGTGAAAATCACAAACTGTTGTCGAGTGGTTCAGTACTGTCAATTCACTCTTACTCTCTACGACCCACACCGAAGGGAACATACTGCTGTTGATCAGTTGGTGCTGCCTAATGCTCCTCACCACGGGTCCTCGCAGTAGTCCTCTAATCGAGAGTAACCCCCTTAGCGCGGTGCCTGATGAACCTTCTGCCCTGTCAGACCAGAGGGGGTTCTTGGCAGCTTTCAAGCAAGCGGCGTCGGCCCAGCAAGAGGCAGCGAGCGCCCTCAGAGACTCCTTTAAGAAAAAGTCAGAGCTCAGCAGTGGGGGGAGGGGAATATATGCACATGATCAACCACATGTGTTGGTGACAATATGAAAATTCTGAGAGGAAATTTTGGGAAATTCTCATTAGTTTCCGTACACTTCTACCCTACTTCGTATATAAACTTCTATAATGTAGCTTTGCAAACTCTTCTGAGCTCAGCTGAGGAAAGTGATTTCATATATTCCTTCAACACTGGGTCTGGGAATAGAACCTATGCGGGATTCACTGCTATACGTTCAGAGTACGCGTACTTGCCCCGTTGATCTATTCATCCTCTCGTGTGAAAGCTGCCGCCAAAGCAGCAGAGGATGCCAAGAGGCGGGTAAGGGCAGGCAGGAGCTTGAAAACTAACACCCCCGATCGTCCCCTCTACTCTTGACAGCTCGCCGAAGAGAGGGAGGCCCGTAACGCTGAGAAGGCTGAGACCAGCAAGAAGATGGAGGCCGCGACTACTCAGTATAATACGCAACGCCGCGCGCTCTCGGTAGGCTCCTCAGTGCTGTCGTCTCGAAGTAGGACCATAGGCACAACTCGCTAGGGCCAAGCAGGAAAATGAGGAGAGCACGAAGGAGGTAGTAAGAACAGGATTACAGGGTGATGAATGTGTGTTATTTCGGAGGAGGGCAAATGATAGTGAACAAGTTGTCGCTATCACAGTCAGAAACGGGTACTCTCATCGCAACACATTACTTACTTTGTATATGCGATATAGTTACAGATTGATTTTCATGCGCACTTTGCATATCAAATTGACACGCAACTGTAGTCGCTCGGAAGTTTACCGTCTCGTTGGTAGTTCCAAAAGCTCTTTGAGGATCGCAAACAGGAGGCAATACGCGAGAAGGCTTACATGGAAAAACAGCTGAGCCTCGTAGGACTAGCTCAGCGCGATTCGGTCAGTATTGCAGTGGTAGGCACGGGGAGAGGTGACGAAACTGAAGGAACAGCTACAGAAGAGCACCGAGGAAGTCGACCAGGGCCGCAAGGAGAGAGCTTCACTCAAGCGAAAATTGTCTGATGCTGGTGGGCCAGTGGGGGGGATTCGAAAATTATGGGAAAATTTTGGGAAAATTTTGGGAAAATTCTGGGGAAATTTTGGGAAATTTTTGGGAAATTTTTGGGAAATTTTCGGGAAATTTTCATTGGTTTTTATACAATTCTACTTCAACTCGGAACTCAGCTGAAAATCTATTTTGCCAAGGTGGGGGAGGAAATATGCAACTACATGTGTTGATAGCAATATGAAAATCCTGAGGAATTTTTGGAAAAATTTTCATTGATTTCTGTGCAATTCTACCCCAACTCTGGTGTGAACTCCTCCGCTCAGCTGAGGAAAGCAAAGATATTTTCCTCCAACACTTCTCAGAGCGCCGCATCAGCGAGCTCCAACGAGAAATCGAAAATTTCCGACGAGAAGACTCCAAAGGGTCTCAGCCGGACCCTGAGGTTAGCACTAGGATCACTAACGCTGTGGCGCTCAATAGCAGCAGTAACAACAGCTCTTGTAAGTCTAGTCGTGATGTGTGTATCGAAGTCCCCGGTGTTGCAGTGTTGGACTCCCTTGCCTTCGGAGAGAGTCTGCTAGTTGAAGGCTGCAGCTCTTTTGATACGACAATCCATCAGACCAGGAATAGCAGCAAGAGGACCACAGCTCGAGCAACTGCTGCAAGTGAGCATGTGTATTCTCAAAGTGTAGGGAATATATTTTTGTATGTTTTGTGAAAACCACTTACATAGCTAGAGTAGTGCAAAAAATGACACCCGTTTTACGTGAAGTGGCGTAAAACGCGATATTCGCGGTGATATGCAGTAGTTGTGAAATATATTTATCACTAGTGTTTTTCATATCATGGTCGTGAAACTCCAATGTGCTCGATTAGCACTGCTCATTGGCTGTGTTTAGAAACTACCACCACCACTGTGGCAGCCTCGAGGCCCACACGAACTACTACCACGCGGACCTCAACAAGACTAGCAGCAGGGGCCCGCGGTCCGGCCAGGGGAGCTAATAAGCACCCCTCACCCGAGCCTAAGGTGACCTTTGCTTTCCCTTGCCTTGCATAGATTCTCCCTCCAGAAGCGCGCCCGAGCTCGTCCGACTGCCCAGCGGCAAAATACAGCGCCAGTAAGGGTTGACAGTCGTAGCGATTCTTGACTTGTCCAGTCGGTGCTCGCTCTCCTCAGCTGACCCTAGGAGTTTCCTCACTAATTATAGGAGTTTATATACAAAGTAGGGTAGAAATGTACAGGAACCAACAAGAGTTTCCCAAAATTTCCATATTGTCACCAACATATGTGGTCGGCCTTGCGCATACTTTCCCGCACGGCCACTCAATGTTCGCTTTCCTCAGCTGAGCTCTAGGGTTTCTCAGAAATTCGTGTATAAGTATGTTGAAGAACCAACAAGAATTTCCTCATATGTAGTCGAGCTCACACTGTGCCCTTTTTAGAGGTTCATTCCAGAAGGCCAGTCGCCGCCCAGAAAACGTCCAACTCGTGCGACAAGAGCAGTTGCTGCAGTCGCCGAGGCCACACCTATTGCTCGCAGGACCCGATCACAGCGGACTCTAGTTGGTTTACGCAGTGCTGCTGCATTGAAATGATGATGCTCTTGTTCATACCATCTTTCTGGTAACTTCTGATGATTGCCTGATTATATAAGCATTCAAACTTGTTATTCATGTATGATATGAATCGATAATGCAGCTAAGCTATGAGCGCTGTTGTGTTTATCATTTCCAAAGTTTTATAAACTAATTAACGCGAAACACCTTTTATAAGGAAACACATCTGACTGTACAAATACTGAGTATCCTCCAGAAACTAGTGCAGAAAATGGCAATATACACAGCTTCGCTCCGCTGCTGACATCAATAAACTCATCTGCTTGTCAATGGGTTCAATTATCACCGTCACGATAAATCGACTTCTCTGTGGTGGCGTCTGAATCGGCGAGGCTCTTATTGAAAAATCGGCTGACAGACTCAATGGCCAACTCGCTCGAGGGTTTCTTCGGCGCGAAAGCCTAAAGTGGAATCGAATTATTACAAAGACATCGGAGTTTCACACCAGTGAAAAATATATTTCACGACTACTGCATATCACCGCGAATATCGCGTTTTTCACATGGTGCTACGCCACTTCACGTAAAACTCCACTGAATTGCTCACCTCGAAAGCATGTGGCTGATGGGGGAATAATTCCAATACTTTGCCGTTTTTTTCATGCCGTGAATACTCCTTCTGCTTCACAAGCTCAGATAGAGGCGGCAACGACACACCGCTGACTTTCTCATAGAACTTCACAGAGTCGCACAAAACGGCTTCACTAAGGCCTGAGAAGCGATGATAAAATCACGGCGGAGCGATGCATCAAGTTCCTCTTACTTGCGTGAATGAGCAATTTGGTGGACTTGAAAACAGCTGGGAGATTCTTCGCAAACAATGGTGATGCCAGAGGATTAGAGCCCTCCCTTTTGAGCTACAAAGATGACAACATAAATGTCTATAAAATTGACCTACTTTTGGTCTTCACCTCTTCTGTAGTTATTGGTTCGAATTTACCAGAGACGTACCTGAAAAAATACCGGAATAATTTCGTGGCGAGTGACGGAAAATAAGCACATCTCAGCAGCCCGTCTTGCGTTGGTCTTGGACACCAGCCGATCGGTGTCGGCGTTAAGGTCGTAGGTCTCACCACTGATAGTCAGATCGAGGAAGGGGGAGAACAACGCTACCGCCTAAAAATGCATATTCAAAACTCGCTTCGCTCCGCTGTAATCAACAACACTCAGATCTGTCCAACTGTAATTACTTTAATAACCAATTCACCAGAGAATCATTCAACTCTAAGAAATAGCGTTACCGAGAGTCCGACAAGAGCGACACAAAGAGAATCCTAATGTCAAGTCTACATGGCAAACTGATTGAATAATGGAGTTTCACAACCCGTTTTACGTGAAGTGGCGTCGTAAAACTCGGTGAAAAACGCGATATTCGCGGTGATATGCAGTAGTCGTGAAATATGTTTTTCACTAGTGTTTTTCATATCACTAGGGTGAAACTCCAATGTGTTCCTAGCAGGATGGAAAAATATGCACATGGTTAACGGCATGTGTTGGTAATAACAATATGAAAATTCTGGGAAAATTCTTGTTATTCGTACGAACTCTGGTAAAAATGCGCAAAAACACACAAAAATTTTCGGTAATTTCCCCCCAATTTTCATATCGCCACCAACACATGTAGTTGACCATGTGTATATTTTCCCAACAGTAGTTCCTTGCAGTATGTGAAAAACTAAAAATGAGTTCCCAACCAGAACACTATAAATTCCTGGCTGATTCTCTGCACCAAAGTATTCGAACTGTGATGCGTCTGGGCTTCCGTCGGCACTCACCTCGGGAGGCGTATCTTTCTTTTCCAACGTCACCGCAGCCGCAAGATTTCCGCCAGAAGAATCACCAGCAATCTAAGTCAGAAAAAAATGCAAAATTTTTCCTCAGCGTAAAAAAAACTGACCGCAACTTTTGCCGCTTTTTGGTCTTCTCTCAACCAGTTGTATGTACTAAGGCAGTCCTCCAGTTGAGCTGGGTACCTAAATCGTGCGAAAAAAATCGTCAAAACTCAGCGGAGCGAAGCAGATTCACCCGAAATCCGGAGATAATCTAAAGTCAGGTATAACAACTCCTTGAAAACGACCATCTCTAGCGATATGCGCTGCCAGGCCGTAGTAGTAGCGCGGATCCAGCATGCAGAAACCACCACCATGCAGATACATCAACCATCGGGAAGTCTCCGGAGGCTCTTGAGCGGCTGCGATACGACTCAGTACATGCGCTGTACACGATGGTGACACCTGGACCTTCTTAAGATCAACTGAGGGGGAAGTAGGGCAGTACGGGAATATATGTTTGCTTTCCTCGACTGAGCTACTAGGTTTCCTCACTATTTTATGAAAAATTACACGATTTTGGGTATAAGTATACAAAAATCAACGATAATTTCGCAAAATTTCCTCAGACTTTCCATATTCCTAACAACACATGTAGTTCACCATGTGCATATATTCCCACACTGAGGTAGGGTATCACCCCCCAGAGGAAGACCTACACTTGTATTTTCGTTGCCAGTATTTGCCGAGATACCGACCGAACCAATTAGCGAGAGCTCGATCCGCCATGAAAGTCACTTGCGACTGACCGACGTTATGAGCCACCATTCGTACGATCTTGGAGAGGCCAGTTCGCATGGCTTCGAGTGAATCGGATTATGAACAAAATCTGACAGAGAAGTGGTATAAAAATAAACACAAGAAAAAAATATAGGAGATCATTATTCTCAAGGAGGAGGAAGTGACCAATGTAGCTGCGTCTGAAAAAATGAAAAAAAAAATCGTAAAAATTGAGAAAGTATCGCGCATCGACATTTTCTGTGTCATGCCAGCTTGAACCTAAGATTCTTGGCCCTCCGTTAATTCTGAGAAGTCTGCCGATTTCATTCCTGTTACGCTCTTCCACAGCCACTGGCGGACCTTATCTGTATCACGCCAGCTTGAACCTAAGATTCTTGCCCCCCCCCCCTAATTTTGAAAAGAAGGCCGATTTCATTTCCCTATAGCCGAATTTTCAAAAGAGCAATCTCTCATACTGGCCGTTACGTTCTTCAACAGTTCACTGGCGGACCTACTCTGTATCATGCCAGCTTGGACCTAAGATTCTCCCAAATGCCTCTAGCCTGCTACCGAGTTAATAATAGGAATATGTGTTGTTGGCTTTAAAACATGCAATGATAAATCAAGTTCTCGTGGTTAACCGCCTTTTCAACATATTCAAGTTTCACCACCCTAGTGATATGAAAAACACTAGTGAAAAATATATTTCACGACTACTACTGCATATCACCGCGAATAACGCCGAGTTTTTCACCGAGTTTTACGACGCCACTTCACGTAAAACGAGTTGTGAAACTCCATCATACACATACTTCTCCCATTTTCAACCACTAAAGCAAAACATGAAATATATAATAGTAACACAGGAACTGTAATCAGCAGCAATGAACAATATTAACAGTATCATATCAAAATCGATCACGTGATCGATTACGTTCACCACTTCAACGATGATGCCGTTGCTACTGCCTTATTCTTACTATCCTCAGCCAGTGACACCCATGTAGCGCTCAGATTCTCCCCGATCAACCATCGTCTCAGCAACCGAGCTTCCACCGAGTCCTCCGCTGCTATAACAGGCACACTATGGTGAACTCTCGTGAAAGATTCCCTCGCGATTTTCGCCACGTCAACTCTATTTTCCACCCGCTTTTTTTCCACTCGTGCTGCGCTCCGCCCAAAAATTCTTCCCAACCACGAACTCATATGAGATTTCTCCGCATCCTTTTCCTCAGCAATAGTATCAGGAATCACCTGAGCCCCGCCGTTTCCGCATCCACCTGGACACGCCATCACCTCCACAAAGTCGTAATCAAATCCTCGTTTATTAACTTTTCGAACAATATTCTGCACATTTCGAAAACCGTACGCTCGCGCCACTTTTCCGATGTGAGTCAAATCTTGATTTTTCACAGAGATCCATTTTGGATCTTCCGCGACCTGTAATTCACCTCGGGCGTATCCTCCGCACTCTGAAGAATCTCCGAAAGGAACAAAGCAACGACTGCCGCACATAAGAAGATCGTTCGTGGGTTCAGCGTTGGTGAATTTGGAAAGATGTAAATCATAATTCTTCAAGAGAGACACGATCTCGCTGGTCCCGAGCACTAAATCGATACTGGGAACGCCATCTGTGGAATCTGATAGAAAAATGGTAAGTTGATATTCCAACACTCCTACTACTGTAGGAGCTATTACTATTGTAGTACTACTATTGCTACTACTGTGCCAATAGTGTAATACTTTTATTATCGAAAACGTAAACTCAAAAGAGCGATCATATAAAGGACAACTACAGTTGAACACTCCTTCTGAAATCAAACTTAAATCATATCATACCGTAATTCCATGCAAGACTATTCTCCCCCTCATATTTTTCGCTATCAACAAACACATCTGAACCTCCTCTCGAAAAAGCATGCCACGTTGATATGCAAATGTGTGTTTTCTATTCCGGGATTAATGATAGTGAACAACTTGTCGCTATCATAGTCTCGAAAGGTTACTTTTATCACATTACATGTTCATAGCATTGTTTATGTGATATAGTTTCAGATCGATTCTTATTAATCTCGGAAAAAAACACCAACTGCCGCACAGTGTAAAATATACCAATTGTCAACCACATATGTTGGTCTCAAAATGGAAATTCCGATGAAATTTTGGGAAATATTTAACTTCTACTTCTCTACTTTCTACTCGAATTCGTATATGAACTTTTATAATTAGTGAGGAAACTCCTAAGCGCAGTGGAGGTAACCAAACGCATATATATGCCCACACAGGTGTACGTATACACAACGGTACGGTCCACATTACAGAATAACAGTAATAAACTACTCAACAAGTGTGGTCGCTTACGATGGAATTTTGGAAAATATTTAACTTCTCCTCGAATTCGTATATGAACTTCTATAATTAGTGAGAAACTGCATATATATTCCCCAACTGCTGTACGTATACACAACTCCCCTCCCCTCGAATGCTTACCAGAAGCGCTCTTTATCCTGTAGTTCGGCCGCAATACCTCCAACTTCCGATCGAAACAAGGGGACACCAATACATGGTATATACGACGCAGACTACTGCTGCTACTCTTGGGAAGCATAATACGAGATAGATATGTATCCCAAAAGCCTCTATATGCAACGATTTGGCGGAAATGTGGTATCACTGATTTCACATAAAGACCTTGTATTTGCTCTGCGGACCTGCGGCAAAAAAGGTGGACTTCATTTTCTCCTCGAATTCTCTTCCCAAAATTTTATCATTTCCAACATCGACATTTTACGTGAAGTGGAGAAAAACTCTATGCATATTCACACTATGCAGTAGTCGTAAAATATGCTCTTCACTAGTGTTTTCCATATCACCGCGAATATCGCGTTTTTCACCGAGTTTTACGCCGCTACTTCACGTAAAACGGGTGGAATTTCAATGATGTAAACTATATTATAATATGATCTCAAAAACTAGTCAATAGCAAATTGACGTCCATATCACAAAAATCCACAAACCCACATCCTCGTCGTTACTACTACCTCACGTTACTGAGCAACTCTACTGTATCTGCATCAAGACTCTTCTCAGCGTAACATGTCCAACCAGGACAGTGTGACGTCAGAAACGCCTTTGGTGGTAACTGAAAACGAGGCGCCTCAACCTAGTGTAGGGGGAAAGAAAATATGCAAATGGTCAACTACATGTGTTGGTGATGACAATATGAAAATTCCGAGAGGAAATTTTCGGAAATTCTTGTTGGTTTCTAAAAAATTTTACCCGAATTCGTACAAAGCTCGTGAAAGCTCCTGAGCTCAGCTGAGGAAAGCGATTACATATATTCCTACTCCAACATTGTATAGGAAACTCCTGAGCTCAGCTGAGGAAAGCGATTACATATATTCCTACTCCAACATTGTATAGGAAACTCCTGAGCTCAGCTGAGGAAAGCGATTACATATATTCCTACTCCAACACTGTATAGGAAACTCCTGAGCTCAGCTGAGGAAAGCGATTACATATATTCCTACTCCAACACTGTATAGGAAACTCCTGAGCTCAGCTGAGGAAAGCGATTACATATATTCCTACTCCAACACTGTATAGGAAACTCCTGAGCTCAGCTGAGGAAAGCGATTACATATATTCCTACTCCAACACTGTATAGGAAACTCTCCTGAGCTCAGCTGAGGGAAGCGATTACATATATTCCTACTCCAACACTGTATAGGAAACTCCTGAGCTCAGCTGAGGAAAGCGATTACATATATTCCTACTCCAACACTGTATAGGAAACTCCTGAGCTCAGCTGAGGAAAGCGATTACGTATATTCTTACTCCAACATTCACATGACAATTCTGAGGAAATTTCGGAAAATTCCTATTACTTTCCGTACATTTCTACCCGAATTCGTATATAAACTCCTATAATTCTGCTCAGGAAAAGCCAACATATATTCCTCCAACACTGCCTCCATCTACGTTACATAGTCCCATCACCGACACAACTAATGAGCATATCCCGAATTTACGCAAGGCACATCCTCGAGAGCATTTTCCTCCACAGAATAGTTTTGTAATTTTTCTCAGACCAGCCGTGTGAATGACAATGAGAAAACTTTACGAAATTTTGAGGAAATTTTCATTTCTTTTTGCACACTTCTACTCTAAAACCATCCCTCGCATAGTGAGCTCAACTGAGTAAACCAAACACATATATTCCAACGACTTCAACTATACCATAAACCAGTAGAGTTTCAAAACACAATTGACTTCGCGAAAAACGGGTGACGCCACTTCACTACATCCAATATCCTCCTCCTCCACGACGGCCCCCATAGCTACTACCCCTTTCCGTTCAGCATCATCCTTCCGTCGCTTCGCTTCCTCTCTAGTCAACACCAGTGCTACTGCTTCACTCACACTCGTATTCAAACAGGAAATCCTCGGGAGATTGATATCTACCATCATAGTACATGTATTACATTTACAAAAGATTTCATACACATCAACTCACTCTGCTACTATCCCATCATAACAACTCCAAAATTATCGTCAGAACTCCAGCAAACATTTTCCGCGAAATCGCGCGTTAAAATTTTTTCTATATATCCAAAACATACTTTCTAGACCAACACTTTCATCCTCCGTCCTGGCGAATTCGAAAATCAATGGAGTTTCACAAGAACCCGTTTTACGTGAAGTGGTGTGAAACTCCGTGAAAAACGCGCTATTCGCGGTGACATGCAGTAGTAGTCGTGAAACATGTTTTTCACTACTGTTTTTCATATCACTAGGGTGGTGAAACTTCATTACACTAGCAAATGCATTCACTTCAGCTGATCTACGAATATGAAGGCTGTGAATCCCTTCACTCAAGCCTCTCCTTAGTCGACGATGACAAAAGCCATTTCTAATCATATCAATACATATCACTGGAGTTTCACCCTAGTGATGTGAAAAACACTAGTGAGAAACACATTTCACGACTATTCACTTCGCGTAAAACAAGTGAAACCCCACTGATACTCAAAACTACAAAATCCACGGTAATAATTACGTCTTCATTTCTCCCAACTTAGAACGCTCATCTCACGGGTCCATGAAATTCCTCCAAAGTGACCAATAAAAACACGCCATCCACATTTCCTGACGTCCCTAGATGTTCTAGGCTGGACCCGCGCTACACTGATACGATCAACAACTCTTCGGGTATTCATCGAGAAAAACAAACATCGCTCCGTCGACGATTTCACTAAATTCAACATAAGCAAAAACCTCTTCTTATTATTAATACTTATTATATGAATATCTTTTTATATTATGAATAGATATAAGGGATATCGCAAAATCTGTGAATTTCTGTATGTATTTCAGGTTGCCTTATATTACCATCCTTTTCCTGCAATTTTAACTCCAGTTGGCGCAGTGCTTCTCCCAGTGCTGGTGCTACTTTCTCCGGAGAAATATTAAAGTACCTACTCCCAAAAACAACAACAATTGCATAATATTCCTACAACCCTAGTGATATGAAAACCATATTTCACGACTATTGCAAGGCGCAAATATCGCGTTTTTCACAAAGTTTTACGCCACTTCACGTAAAACGGTTGTGAAACTCCAATAGTAATAAAAGACACTCACTGTGATAAAGACGTCCGACTCGGCCCCGTCACCGACACTACTACTTCCGCAGGGAGCGCCTCTTCAGAGGAGTCGGAACTCTGAGAAAATGGACGAAATCAACCATTCCTCTCAAAATTCTATACAAAATAAACAACTATTGGTATAACAAGAAAATCCTATTATTTTTTTTGAAAATATAATAAAAATGAAACCATAATTTTCTCACTTTTGCCCCCAGTCGCTGCAACAATGCATCTGTCGACTGCTCCGTCAATAGTATTGTTTCAGCTGAAGTAACGCAGCCACTACCTATGAGAAAATACATTATTACGTACATAACAATAGTGTTTCACACGTGATATGAAAAACACGCGTTTTTCACCGAGTTTTACTCCACCTCACGTAAAACAGGTGAAACTCCAATGTACGACCCAGCAAGAGGCAGCAAGCGCTCTCAGAGACTCCTTTGAGAAAAGGAATCAGGGCTAAGCCGTGGGGGGAAATACATGCACGTGGTCAAATAATATAAAAATTTTGTGGAAATTTACGGAGATTCTCAGTGTTTTCTGAACATTTCTTTCCTAAAACTTTAATGATTGTTAGAGTTTCACAACCCGTTTTACGTAAAGTGGCGTAAAACTCCGCGAAAAACGCGAAATTCGCGGTGATATACAGTAGTAGTCGTGAAATATATTTTCACTAGTGTTTTTCATATCACTAGGGTGAAACCCCTGAGCTCAGCTGAGTAGAGCGAGCGTATATTCCTCCAGGACTTTATATTAATGATATCTCGCAAAGCTTCAGTGTTAGAGGAATATATGTTCGCTTTCCTCAGTCGAGATTCGAAGTTTCCTCGCTAATTTACATACAAATTCGGGTAGAAGTGTACAGAAACCAATAAGAATTTCCTTAATTTTCCTCAGAATTTTCACATGTAGTTGACCATGTACATATTTTCCCAAAATTTTCGTGCTCACATGCGAGGCAGTCCGACAGGGAAACTTGTGCAATCGTAGCTGTTTGACCCGTAGTCTTCTCTTCCGCCTAACAAAATAAATTTCTGTGGAATTTTCGGATCATCATAAATTTCAGAAATTACCTTTTTAGACCGTATTAGCTGTGGCCGTACTTCTCCAGTTGCTTCCTCATGTTTGCTCTTCTCGAGAGCTCCGGCGAGCGGTATTACGCATTCCTGAAAAAGTATAACACTGGACGTTCACCCTAGTGATATGAAAAACATATTTCACGACTACTACTGCATATCACCGCGAATATCGCGTTTTTCACACAGTTTTACGCCACTTCACGTAAAACGGGTTGTTGTGCAACTCCACTGTGCTATTATAGAAATAAGAGAAGGTGAATTGCGAAATTATTGGTAAGAAAATAATAATAAATATAATTACCCACATTTACGAAATCATATCGTAGATATGTAAGTAATACAACAATACGATATAGACCTCGATGAAAGCATAATCCGCTTAGTAAAGGGAAAGAGGTGTAAACACCACAACAAGAGGCTACTTTTATTACCGTGCTAGGGCTGATGAAATCATCGAGATCAGCAAGCTTCACGACGCCCGAGAATCCCGACATTTCAACGATGGCTACTACAAGAAGGAGGAGTGGATGGCACACAGTGCAGATTTGAAAGATATCGATTACACGGGCGCGCGCAATGTTGTGACGAACTGATTACTTCCAACTTGATCTCAACCACAAGTGGAGTTATGTACGTTGTGGAAACTTGTGTAAATCGCCGTAGCGTCGTCTATAAAACTACTAATGGAGTTTCACGGCCGTGATATGAAAAACACTAGTGAAAAACATGT